TTTTTTTGAGACGGAGTCACTCTGTCACCCAGGCTAGAGTGCAGTGGCATGATCATGGCTCACTGGCAACCTCCACCTCCCGGGTTCAAGTGATTCTCCTGCCTCAGCCTACCAAGTAGCTTGGATTACAGGCACCCACCACCACACCCAGTCATTTTTTTGTATTTTTAGTAGAGACAGGGTTTCACCATGTTGGCCAGGCTGGTCTCAAACTCCTAACCACAAGTGATCTGCCCACCTCAACCCCCCAAAATGCTGGGATTACAGGCATGAGCCACTGCATGCACCCTAGCTGCAGCTTTTTGAATAAGTATGAAGCCTAGTGTCTTGAGGTGTTCCCAAGTCTGACAATTCTAGGGTGCCCTTTCCTTTTTAAAACTGGCAACCACCAGACGCAGTGGCTCATGCCTGTAATCCCAGCACTTTGGGAGGCCGAGGTGGGTGGATCATGAGGTCAAGAGATCGAGACCATCCTGGCCAACATGGTGAAACCCCGTCTCTACTGAAAATACACAAATTAGCTGGGCTTGGTGACGTGTGCCTGTAGTCCTAGCTACTTGGGAGGCTGAGGCAGGAGAATTGCTTGAACCCAGGAGGCGGAGATTGCAGTGGGCCGAGATTGTGCCACTGCACTTCAGCCTGGTGCCTGGCAACAGAGCGAGACTCTGTCTCAAGAAAACAAAAAACAAAAAACTGGCAACCACAGTGGCTGATTTGGCTCTTGTGTTCCTCCTCTGGCAGCAGCAACCTATATATGCGTTTACCACAGGCATCAATAATTTCCATCAAAGCAAAGAACTAGCCGGGAGCAGAAGAACCTGCAAGTCTGGGCCAGCTGGAAGATTACAAAGGTGTGAAAACAAAGGGAAAGGTACTAGTTTCTGAGCCTGAATGAAAACATAAACCTGGCCGGGTGTGGTGGCTCAAGCCTATAATCCTAGCACTTTGGGAGGCCAAGGCAGGCAGACCCCTTGAGGTTAGGAGTTCAAGACCAGTCTGGCCAACATGCAGTGAAACCCCATCTCTCCAAAAATACAAAAATTAGCCAGGCATTGTGGTGTGTGACTGTAACCCCAGCTACTCAGGAGGCTGTGGCCTGAGAATCACTTAGAACCCGGAGGCAGAGGTTGCAGTTGCAGTGAGCTGAGATTGTGTCACTGTGCTCCAGCTTGGGCAACACAGTGAGACTGCATCTCAAAAAACAAGCCCTCCCACCCCGCCATAAACCCAACTCTGAACCCTGTAACTGTTTCAAGGATCTTCCATAGAAAAACAGCAGCGGAGTCCCCTTGTCCCACAAGGCTCATATTGTCATCCAGACCCTAATTTGGTAGAGCTCATGTTCACAGACATCCCCATTCCTTTTCTACTTTTCTGCAGCTCACAGGATAAGGATTGGTTTTGGAGGCAGATAGTTTTTTTTTTTTTTTTTTCCCCGAAGAGACAAGGTCTCCCTATGTTGCCCAGGCTGAGGTGCAGCGGCTATTCACAGGCGAGATCCCACTACTGATCAGCACGGGAGTTTTGACCAGCTCTGTTTTCGACCTGGGTTGGTTCACTCCTCCTTAGGCAACCTGGTGGTCCCCCGCTCCCGGGAGGTCACCATACTGATGCCGAACTTAGTGCAGACACCCAATCGGCATAGCGCACCAGAGCCCAGAATTCCTAGGCTCAAGCGATCCTCCCACCTCAGCCTCCTGTGTAGCTGGGACTACAGGCGTGCACCACCGTGCCCGGCGGAGGCAGACAGGTTTTCAATTTCCCCCAATCAGCAAACTGTTTAGGTATAAAAAAAGTCTTTAATCAGGAAGGATTTATCTTCCCTCAACACAAATGCACACATTAAAAGTAAAAATACATATATACATGAATATTTACACAAATGACAAATCACGGTGGACAGCTACATGCCCTGGGCTAGGGGTTGAGAAGATGAACATCAGGAGCAACTGCAGGATGGCTTCTCTGTTGTTCCCGTTGTCCTGTGGTCGTCTTTTTGGCCAAGGTGGATAGACTGGGAGGGGACAGGGCATAGCTCCAGTCTGATGGCAGAGTTACTGGCAAACTATAGCAACGAGGCCCCTCTCCAGACAGTTTCATAGGATCACCAGAGATGACAGGAGATGCTGTAGCAGGTGGGACTGGAGTGGTTGGGGCAGAGTGGGTGAAGGGTTGCACTCCATGCTGGAGGAAAAGAATGACACCAATGCCGGTTCCAGTGCCTAAAGGACCATGGCTAAAGGAGACAGTACCTGGGGAGCTGAGAGGGGGGTTGCAAATTGGAGTGGTGTGGATCCAGGTGAGGTTCATGGCTGGCCATTCTGTAAGGTGCCAAGGCTGCTTTGGTTTCAAAGCTAGATGTCCTAGCTGTGTCTGGTCCATCTTTTCCACAGGATATGCAGGAGAGGAAGCAGCTGAATCATTGTGGTGGGCTGGAAAATGCTACAGAGGGGAGAAATGAGAAAAAAATGGGAGAAAGCTTTCAGATTAGCTCCATCTGGTTACTTAAATCTTTGCATTCCTCAGGAACTCAGTTTGCAATGCAAACGTATCTCATTTTATGCAACAGATATGATCTTGCCAGGCCATGATTAAGTAAAAGTTCTAGTAACCAACGTATACTTTCATTTATTCAAAAAATGAATGGCCTACTATGGGCCACATACTATATTAGAAACTGGATATCCAGAGATGAACTAAAAACAAACAGTCCCATAGGTTCTCACTATTTATAAAATAATTCTTTTTAGAATTTCTTTAAAAAGAAGTCCATTTTTTAATTGAAATCATTTCCCAAATTCTGCATTTAAATTATAATAGTCTACTAATAGTCTATGGTGAGTTATTTAAGAAGTATAAATTAATATTCACGCAAGATCCTGCTTTTTTTAATTTTATATTTGAGACAGGGTCTCACTCTGCCAACCGGGCTGGAGTGACGCAGCACAATCATGGCTTACTGTAGCCTTGACCTCCCAAGCTCAAGAGATCCTCCCACCTCAGCCTCCTGAGTAGCTGGCACTACAGGCACACACCACCATGCCCGCTTACTTTTTGTATTTTTTGTAGAGACTGGGTTTCACCATGTTGACAGGCTAGTCTCAAACTCCTGGGCTCAACCAATCCTCCTGCCTTGGCCTCCCAAAGTGCTAGGATTACAGGCGTAAGCCACTGTGCCTGGCCTACTTATTTTTTAATAGATTATTCACAGCAATAAGAACCATGGCTGATTGAAAATTAGGACTGGTGATTATCTACAGGAGACTCTCCTTCTCCATCATTTGAATGCCCTTTACATACCCTATTCTTTGAGGACAGAAAATAGGTCACTTCTATACCAGGTCTAAAACTATCAACACTGCTGCTATGGGTGTCTCCCTCCCCCACTTCCAGTGATGTACCTCTCACAACCAGTCCTTGAAACTCAGTGTAGACTCAAAACCTTTCAAAGGTTTTGGCACAAGGATACTTAGGCAGAAATGAAAAGAAGGAGAGGGGAAGGGTTTGGGGGCAGTAGGGAAAAAAGCGTTTGCAGAGAGAAGCTGAGGCATCTTCCCACATGAATCATTTGGCCAGGTAAAAAGCCTTTACCTGGCAGAAAGCAGATAAGCTGTGGCATGAGGGATAGGATTAAACTTCATGGAGTTCTTCCCAGTGATCCAAACAAAACAGAACAACAACAACAAAAAACGTGTAGGAATCAAAACAATGCAGAAAGTTTAGGAATTCCCTTCCCTGAAAACAAACTTAGAAAACATTCAGAAGAAAATGGCAAAAGAAGCCCATTTCTGCATGCACATTTCATTTCCTTGGTTACCTTCCCACCTCTTTCTCATGTTCTTAAGTTCTTACCTTGGTCAGCTGATGCTTGCCACCACCCAATGATGACTTCTGGGCAGCTATATGAGGAAACCAAGTCTTTAACATTCCTTCTACCTGTAGCAAGGTTCCTAGATAACGTTCCCTGTGAAAATGATATTGTTTAAAAAAAACAACAACAACAGGATTGGAGAAATCTCATTTTTTAAGAAGACCCAAAGAAAGAACCAGGGGACTTACCCCATCTGTGGCTTCTGCAGAACACCTACAATACGCTGGATCCTGTCCATTGCCACACTCTGCTGAAAACTGCTTAATCCTGGGGACAGGGACAGAGAGAGATTAAGGATTGAGATTCAAGCATGTAGTCAGGTAAAGGAAGGACAGAAGGGGGTTTAAATAGATTGATCTAAAAAAATTAAGTGGGGCCAGGTGTGGTGGCTCACACCTGTAATCCCAGCACTTTGGGAGGCCAAGGCAGGTGGATCACCTGAGGTCAGGAGTTCAAAAGACCAGCCTGGCCAGTCTCTACTAAAGATAAAAATTAGCTGGGTGTGGTGGTGGGCGCCTGTAATCCCAGCGACTTGGGAGGATGAGGCAGAAGAATCACTTGAACCCAGGAGGCGAAAGTTGCAGTGAACCAAGATCACGCCACTGCACTCTAGCCTGGGCAACAAGAGCAAAACTCCGTATCAAGAAAAAAAAATTAAGTCATCGTAGCAAAAAAGAAGTAATACAGGCCCCAAACAAGAACTTAAGAGAAATACATGTCAAAAGAAGGAAAGAGAAAGAGAAATGAACCTAGCCCAAATGAACGAAACTAATGAGATTACCTCTCTCAAAACGACCCATCTTCAGCCCATTGAGAAGGTCTGTGAGAGGAGGTATAAATCCTTGGAGTTCTTTACACTGTAGGAAAACAGGACAGATGCTATGAGAAGACTCAGAGCTGCATACACCACCAGTGGCTCTAACTTCACCTCCAAATCTGGGAGTCATTACTGTCCTCATAGAGTCCTTACCAACCGGCTGGGTGCTAAGCCACTCCAGGAGAGTCTCCTTTCACCTGCTTTCTCTTACCTTCTGGGCAAACAGCAGGTCTCCCTCTGTGGTACAACCTTGGATGTTTAGACTGGTCTCCAATTCACCATCTCTTGATCTTTTCGCCCCAGATCCTGCCATAGGAGAAGCTGAGCCTCGCTGTTCCGGATGAGATGGTGTATGTTGGTTACTGCAAACTTTTGATCGATGCCTGCAGCGGATAGGACCTGGGCTGGGCCGTGAACCTCCCCTCTGCCCAACAGTGTCTGGCCTGGTTCCATGGGCCCCCTTGTCCTCCCTCTCACTATCAGAGGGGAAGCCAAAGTCACTGTTCACTGGGGAGGTGGGAAAAGACGAAGAGAGAGAGTAGGAGGAATAGGAAGAAACACTAGATGGAGAATCCATAGGTCCAGAAGCAGGGGCTGGAGAGCAGCTCCTGGAGTACCCAAAGATCGGAACCTGCAACTGAAGAGCAAAGCGAGGGAGTTTGAAACCGGAGTTTAGGATTAGGAAATGGACTGGGAGATTGGGGTGTACTGCGTGGGATAACACTTGTTCTCCCCCTCCCCAATATTACCTGTCTCAGAGACAAAAGAAAAAGACATTTCCACCCCCACCCCCGTCCATTAAGAACCTGGGATTCCCACTCTGGCCTCGGCAGAGCAGCTCTCAGCCTGATGCAGCCTCCGTTCTTTTCACCCTTCGTTCAGAGTAAATACCTGACTTGAAAGACACCCTGCCCTCGGCCCGCTGTTCGCCAGGGCTGTTTGCCCGCCTGAGTCCGCAGCAAGCCTCTCCACCTGAGGCCATGCCACCCACAAGCGGTCAATCTGAGCACGCGAACCCACCTAGTGACCCTACAGGAACCGCCCCCACAGACTGGCCTCCTGCCGTCTCCCAAGGTTTCGAGATCAGGATCCCTGCGCCGGTCTCTCTGGGCTCTCGCCTGCCACGTGATGCAAACCCTTGCAATACCAAGATCTGCATTCAGCCCCCAAACCCACTCCCTCTGGGTCCAATCCTCCCCAACAGCTTGCTTTTTCCTCCGAATCTCCTTACCTGTGTCAGCCTGCTCAGCCCAGGCTCGGTCTCCAGCTCCTTCTCCGGCTCTCCCAGTCTGGCAACCCACCTCCGCCTCTCTCAGTGGGCCCCGCCCCTTCCCCCCTCCCAGACACGTGCAGCCCGGCACGTGCCTCCCCCTGCGTACACAGATCTCGCTCCCTCATTGGTTGCATCGCCGGTAACACGTGACTCTCGTTACTGAAGTCCACGGCCCATTTGCTACAGTACAAAGGGGCTCAGCCAATAGAGAGGCAGCCAGGTGATGATTGGCTGGAAGGGAAGCGTTTCGTGCTCCGCCCCTACATGCGGCTCCCGGAGAGGACCCGGTGGTGAGAAAAGGAGGAGGATGGAAAAAAGAGTGGAAAAGAAGGGAGGGGAGGAAAAGGGCGGAGCCGGTGGCCTTAAATAGGATGGTGATGCGCTGGAGACGCGCGGCTCGAGTGTTCCGAGATTGGTTGCGCTACTGAAGCCGTGCGTCTCCGGACGTGGGACGCCCCCCCCCCCCCCCCCCGGTTCCGTCTCAGGAACTAACTCATCTGCCCCCTCTTTGAGCACCTCCGCTCACGGTCGCAGCACGTGGAAACCATCAGTGATTTGTGTCTGCAACGTGTGTTAGAGAATGCAGGTGTGTGACGCGGTATATTCTCCCTCTCTTGGCGGCCCGGCCCTCGTGACTCTCCGGTCTCCGTTTCACCTCCCCCACCCCTTTCTCCTCCACGTTGGGTGCCTCCTGCCCTGCTGGGTGAGGAGGGTGGGGATTGCGGCCGAGAACACCGCGTCCTCTCTGGCTCCCGCTGGGGCGGCTCCTCTAGCCCTTTTCTTACATAACGTACCACGCACGTTACCAGCTCAGATGCCAGCCCGCCACGACGCTAGAGGTCAAAACGAAACTCAGTTTTTCCTGACTTTTTTGTCCAGGCTTCTCCGGCCTGGCGTCCTGAATTATCTGATTCCAAGCATGGGAAACAGCGGGGTAGGTACTTGATCTCCTAGGTTATGGCTTTGTTCAGCTTCAGTGCCTTCATTTGTCCCCTGGAGAGGATTCCGAAGACTTTGAAGGAGGGGAGGGAGGCAAGTCCAGAGTTTAGAGAGTCTCAGAAGTAAATGGGACGTTACTACTGTCGCTGCGCCTTGCATTTTGAGTACAATGGAGAGGAGAGCAGGGCACAAGGACGGTGAGCTGGTTGAAAAATAGGATGTCGGAGAGACCGCAAGGGGGCAGCCCAATTCTGATTAGGGTCCGGAGGATAGAGAATTAAAATTTTTAAGTGAGTTTGTCCCTGCCATAATTACCAACTGCTGCAAAAGGCGCATTGTTGGACAGAGGTGTGGGTGGGGGCGGGTAGGTGTGAATATTTTAAATATATTCTAAGTAGTTTTTGATATTTTACATTATGTTTTAACAATGGGCTTATTCTTATAAAAAAAAAAAAAGATTCTAAATCGCAATCCCGTTTCCCCAAGCACACTGTTTCAACACCATATTTAATCAAATAAAACAACAGAATTAGCAATGTGGACTTCGAATAAACCTGCTGTCTGTGGGTGCCCTCCAGTCTTCCCCAAACTGCAGGTTTATTCACAGTCCGTAATGCCCTCTAATTCTGTTATCTCCCAACTCTCCTTCCAGTCTACATTTGCGGTCTCTAAATCCTGGTGCTCTCTTGAGTTGTGACTTTACAACAGACATTCATGAAGGAGCAGACAGTAACCAGATTATTTTATCATTTATTTTATCTTCCAATTTCCTCTTGCCAAACTCCCAGCCAGAGAGTCATAGCAGGCTTCTCCCACCTAAAAAA